CCAGTCGCCTAAGAGGACCTTTTAAGCGGGCCATAGCTCCGCAATATTTTAGCACGCACACCGGGTTATTGAATCCATTGCTGTATCTCTTAGGGGATTAAAGAAAGGGTGCCTTCGAGCACCAACTAAATCTGCAACTGTCAGTAGGCAAAACAAAAATTCGATGTTTGTGGCTTGCTTAAATGATCTCCTTAGACGGCAACTGGAATCAAGGATGTGGTACGCAATCTAGTATCACGGATTAAATGATGAAATATACGTGAACTTATTGGGATATTTTCGCTATGTTTGATTCAGCAACGTTTGAACGTACAAAAAATATTTCATGCCGGACAGAGAAAACCTAAACGTTTTTTTGAGGATTTTCGTTATTCTTTGTCATTCTTAGTTTGTTATAAACATGCTGGGAAGATCATCATGAATATACTTGACGTTTTAGGACATTTTAATAAGCTTCAACTGAATTCCAGTCTCAAGTAAGCGCTCTTACTATAAAACTTTCGAACTTGCTGAGAGCGTTTTCGGTGAGTTTTCCTTAATGCTAAGCTTAGGAAAATGACATGTCTGAAAAATCACCTGCCATGGTATTACCTCAAAGGTTAACGGATGGAAATATTAAAGTAATATCTGCAAAAGTGTTTTATACTATTTTACCATTAGAAAACTGTATACAAATAATATTACCGATAACGTTATTGTTGTGATTCATTGGCAAGCCGAGAAAGGTTTGTACAGAACTTTTGTAGCAGATTTGTTTTGCATGACACTTTGATCTCTTTGTTTAAGTTCATTTGTTTTAAGTGATTAACCGCTTAAGTTCGATAAGACATAATCAGCATATTAATGATAATAGGCTGAGGGAGAGAAGGCTGGAAGCCTCTTTCTTAATAAATTCATAACTTTAAACTAAATACTTTAACACCAATTTTTAGCCATTAACTATTTACAAGCTGTATTTTGGGTATAAGGGCCTATGTCAGATCCTTAATATTTCATTAAAATGAACTACAAAATTTTTAAAATTTCCCTTGCATTTTTTTCCAATCTGTTTTACATTTTCGAGTCAGTCATTATCCTGACTAGTAGCAGATCTTTGATTAAAAATAATTCCAAACTTATTCATTATGACCTTTAATACATCAATTACAACATTCGATGGTTTTCGACGATGTTTGCTTATAATAATGCAACGACAGCATTTCAGTTGGCCAGATGTCTGTCTCCAACAAATCTACTAGTAATAAAAAACGCACAGTGTTAGATAACTTGAATAGTAGGAACTATGTTCAGCGATTGTTTTTTACGTATAATTTAACTGCATCAGAGGTACTTTAAAATAAGTCGCCACATACTGGAAAATCTATTACAACATATTTGCTTATTGTAGTGCGAAGATATAGAAGATTTAACGTGCACTATTTGAAAATATTTGTAATTCACTTCACTTCAAGTTATCAGTAGCGAACAAACCTGCGAATTAATTTATCTACCTTGTTTGTATGCATTTGTTATCATTTTTAGACCAACTGAAGACCTTGCATTTACATGATCGAAATATCTTCGTATTCTGTATTACTTGTCATCGTCCGTCTTTTTAGATCTACTACTGCATATAGGCGTCTTTAGGACGTCACCATAAACTTTTGTTTTCTGTGATTCTCCCTTAGCTTTGTCCAGCGAATTTCTTCAGGTCATGCTGCTGCTTCGATTTCGACATCTTCCTGCGGGAGGTTTACACTATTGTGGAAATTACTACCAATCAACGTCACACACTTCCATCGAACATAATAATTTTTTAAAATCAGTGATGGTAAAATTTTTGAAAATATTGATGTATTTAATGTTTATTCAAAACAGTATTAGTACCTTG